ACACGATGATCAGAATGATATTCACGACCATCAAAATGATATTCTCAATGATGTTACTTTAGCTATTCTAAAAAGAAGACCTTTCAAAAGTAGTAAATCAGAGAATGACGAAGAAGACTATATATCTCTGTGCGAATCGGCAAGTATGAGGGTCAAAAATCACCATTGACTATTCAAAGAGAGTACTGATGATAAAAATTATACTGACGATTAAGTTGATGAGAATTCCGATGGTGAGATTTATACTAATAATGTAATTGATGGAAGTAAAAAGAAAAAGGTAAATATTTGTGCAGATTTCAATTTTTAAATATTTTATGACAAAACCTTTTATGTGAGCGAAATTCCACTGCAAGAAGAGAAAAGGAAAGTAATAGATGATAGTTTTAATTCGATGAACAAAAATAAAATGTGGAAACTATCATCCGGCCGTTATGTGGAAGAGGAATTATACAAGTTAGGAAAGAAGCTAGACTACGAGTAGTAAGAATATAAATTATATCTTAGTTTGGTAATTATGATATGTGATATTAGCTAGAGTTTTGCATTTCTAGTGCGTTACATTCTTTTATATTGGATGTTGAAGATGAAGTTGTGTTGAATCATTTTACCGAAGAGGAGATGGAGGAAATAGTTCAGGTTTCGGGTCCTGCCGTTCCTGAGTTGTCTGAAAACGTGATAGATTGTTTAAGTAAATTCGTCGGCAAGGTAGATGATATATTTTAATGCCAAATTTACTCGTATTTCAATAATTTACAAAGTATGTTTTTTGCAGACCGATTTATACGAAATTAGGAAAATACTTAAAAAAATTACCTTTGATGACAAATATAATATTAAAAAAGATCACGATGTTGATTATATCATATTTGCTATACACGCTTTGTAAGTAACCAATGTAAATTTATTGTTACGCCAATAATTTTTGTGTTTGTGTGAATTAATACTGGTGTAAAAATTATTTTCCAGAGTATGAGAAATAGAAAGTGGGAAATTATGTGACAACAGCCTCGAATCATGGTATAATATTCATATTTGGAGCTTCATATTTGATCAAGCATTTGGAAACATAAAAATTATTTCAGTTGTCAGGTAAAACTAATTCTAATTTGATTCGTTTGTTGAGTAATTTGTTTGATAAAAGTGCAATTTTATTTGCAAATAAAGGGGGGAAAGTTCAGGAATTGCCGGCTCAATCTGTAAAAATAAAAATAGAAAGATGGGTAGTAGAGGCGATTGGATTTTAAGATCAACTGGTAAAGGCGATAATGATGAATTTGGAGTTGGTGAAGCAGGACATAGCTGGAAAGACAAATATGGTACTAAGTTTTTAAAGGAATCTGGCACAAAACTTCCAAAAAACTTAAAAGATATGATTATGAAGTTAATGGAAAAGGTTAAGTGGAACCCAGCCAAATACAATGAAATTCAAACGGTTGGAATTATTCATGCTGGTATAGTTTTTCTCATGGATTTAATTAATTATGCTAAATTCTATCCTTTAATATTAAATAACATTTCAATCTTAGGGCTAATAATGGTAATGCTTTATCTCGACAACCCCAAGGGATATATTTGCAGAATTCGTTGCAGTGAATTAATGAAGGTACCGGATACACCATCGATTCTTATTATATTAGCGTCTGTTCTTAATTTAAAGGTTGGTTTTATGTATAAATGGGTGATTAATTTTCAATAGTGACGAAATTGACGAAATATTTATTTCGTCAATTTCGTCTCCCATCACTAGTCTTATGTTATTTGTCGACATTGTATATTTTCAATATTTTCACCTAATGCTTGCCTGTTTATAAATTTAGAGTCGAGTTTTGGAAACACTGAAAGTTGTAATAAACTCAAAAGAAATCAAGATAGGAGAACGTTCATTGATGCAGGATTAAAAAAACGAAAATATGATTATGAGCAGCATCGGTTAACCAATTGCACAACAACTCCTGTAAAAAAGAAAGAAAATGAACGGTTTATTATTAAACCAAAAAAAATAGAAAATGAATCAATAGTTTTAGTGTTAGATTTATGCAATTCCACAATTTTTAATTTGTAAAAAATTGAATTTTTTGGGATCTCTGATATTAAAGATTCGTGATATTCGTGTGCACTAGGGTGTCCAGGATTATGATCCGGCACTTTCATGTAGCATGTAAACAAAATTTGATTTGTTAAATGGTTGTCCCTTTGACTGTAATCACCTGCCTTGTCGTTCTTTTTGAAATTTTATTGGCTAATTCGCATAATTCGCATAATTTGGCATTTACCGGTCATAATCCTGGACACCCTAATGTAAGGACAGTCAAATTCACGTGATTGCTAAAACCACTAACTTTGGTTCTAAATTTTTGAACCTATTTTCGGATATTTTTCTAAAATTCTAATATGAGAACGCCCACAGCAAAAGCAGGGGATGGGACTATATAATATATAGTCCCATCCCCTGCTTTTGCTGTGGGTGTCCCCATATATGGGTGTTTAAAAAAAGCAAACATTTCGATACGTACGTACGTACGTACTTTGTGGAATTCATACGTATAAAAAATTACAATACGTACGTAGCTATACTAATATAGTGTATTTTTGCATAAAGAATAATTTCATTAAGAATTTAGACACCCACGTGTCATAAGGTCATAACCAAATAGTTGGTCCAAACTCTGATTGGTTATTATTAATCGTTTATCAGATTATCGGTGGAGGGAGCACACAAAAACTTGGAAATATGAAAACAGCTGACAGTGATAGTGGATCCGAACAAAACTATTCAAATGATTCTTCAAGCGAAAAAGAAACCGAAATCAAAAAAATCGGTCCTACCAAACGAACAAGTAAACATCGGTTGGTATTTAAAGCATAACGATATTCTTATTACATGCATTAAATTTATTCAATTTTTGCAGGCCGATGGAAATTTCGTCGAAAAAACCTGTAGGGCGCTTTCGGCAAATCGTAGAGATTCCGTCGAATGTACGCAATTTGTCAATTAAAAAAGTTCATTATTATCATTATGTTCATTATATTTATTTTTTTTAAACAGATAAGGAAGAGACGAGATCCAAGATTCGACGATCTGTCGGGAAAATTTAACGAAGATTTATTTGAAAAGTCGTATAACTTTTTAAATGAATATAAAAGATCTGAAATTGAAGAAGTTAAAAAAAGAATCGATAAAGAAAAAGATCCAGAGGAAAAACAGAAATTGCAACAACTTTTAAATAAATTGGTATTTGAAGTCATCTAATTGAAAATTGAATTCGTTTCATCATTATAATTGTTATCATTTATAATATATGTTTTAACCATTAAATTCATTTGTTCACACAACTTGTAAGCAATCTAGAGCTGCGCATGAGAGTAATTTAAACCGAAAAAAGCAATTAAAACGGGAGCGAAAAAAGAAAGAGCGTGAACTTGTTGCTCAAGGAAAATCTCCATTCTATATCAAGAAATGTAATATCATTTTAGAGCGATTAAATTCATTTACCATCCTTAGTCGTTTTCATTAACTCCATTAATGTAATATTGTTACGTTCATTCAATTTAGCCGAAGAAAAGAAATTGGAACTTGTTGACAAATTTAAAAAATTACAGAAATCAGATTCCAAAGTGCTTGAGAAAGTCATTGAAAAGCGAAGGAAAAAGAATGCATCAAAAGAGCACAGATATGTCCCGTTTAAACGATGGCGCAAAGTAGATTCGTGAGATGCGGTTAAGGATGACTTAAATAGGTAGGTGACACGAACAAATGTGCTAAAAACACAGTATTGTTATATCGAACTTATTATACGCTTGAGATGGCCAACAATTTGTTATCTTAAAGTGTTAAACCACAGGATATTGTTACGCTTTGTTTCTGTAAATCCTTATTATACGTATAGAGTTTGTGATAATAAATTAAAATTTTGTTTTATAACGATAATATCTAATACTGAAAAGCTAGTTTTTTGTACCCAGAGGTCTATTAATGTTAATTTGCCCAGCACTAAGTTAATTCGGGCCGGTTTTATAATCGCTGTAATTAGTGTTCCTCACGGGTCGGATCGGCTCGGTTTTTAGAAAAGAACCGATCCGAACCCGAAAAGTCGGATCGGTTCTAAAAATGAACCCGAAATCAACTAGAACAAACCCGAAACCGACCCGAAATTGTCAAAGCAAATAACATTCCTAACGTTAAAAATGTGAGATGCCCAAAAATAAGATTTTATTATTTT